CAGTCCAGAAGAATATTATTTATGGAAGGGACTGAAGTCTATAGCTTGGGGTAAATAAGATCTAGACATGTATTTATAAAATGGAAAACTTGCAGATTAAAGATCAAGATAATAGTTTTTGCAAGACACATTCACCTTACCTGATAGGGAGTTAAAATTCATCTCAGCCAATAAAACTATCCATTTCTGTCCTCCTGAGTAAAATAACAGGTGTAAAAATTCTGACCCGAGTTCAGAGAGATGAGATCTCCTGTGCTTTCCCAAACACATCAGGCTCCAACTGGAGCCACAAAGACTCATCTGAGCTTGACGTTCAGTGGCACCTTGTGGCCCTGCGTTAGGCAAGTAACACGTGGTTTTCTTTTTTGAACGGTTCCTGAAAAAGAGGCTACCCTCTGTAATGGGAAGAGGCTTTGTGAATGTGATCAATGTATAAGAAATCCCTTTCCCACACTCAGTTATTCCTCCAACACATTTATTGAAAAGCTACTATGTGCCGAGTGTGGTTCTGTCCTCAGGCAGAGCACAGTCTCATCTGTAATGTAAAGTGCTGAGTCCTTGGCTTGTGTTGGGACCAAGTGCCCAGGAGCACTGGGAAGGGCCAGTGAGTATTCTTTGGCCATAAGCAGATGAGAAAAGCTCAGTCCCAGCTCTCCTGGCCTCGCCTCCAGGTCTGGTGGCCTTGGAGCTCGTTCCTGGTCACTGAGTCACATCTTGGAAGGCCTTGTGGGGTTAGGATTCAAGTTCTGGGATCCAAAGCCTGGTGTTCAGTTATGCCTCAGTGAGCCATTTTATCACTCTGTGCTGCCGCTAATCTTTCTGTCCAGTGGAGATAATAACAGGCTGTGTCAGAGAGCTGCAGTGAGGATTAGAGGAGATAATCCGTGTAAGGTGCTTCATATAAACATTGCTCTTTCCTGTTGAACTTATAGTGTTTGCGGCCCTGTGCTCACTACTTGATGCATCTATTAGCTCATTTTATCCTCCCAACAGCCCATGACCAGGCATTATCATTATCCCCATTTTACAGATGAGAAGACTGAGGCATGGGCATTTAGGGACCTTGCCCATGTCTGCAGTGAGTGGGGGATGGAGGTAGCATTCAAATCCAGACAGCATGCTTGGGAGCCGTGCCCTGCACTACTCATTACACCACCCTGCCCAGGCTGCCAGCCACTTCTCAGCAAGTGCTGATGGCGATCACATCTTTCCCACTGTCGGGAGAGGAGATGTGTGAACTCATTCTGAGAAATACTTCTGCGAAGCACTGGATGTGGCGTTTCATGTGTGCAGGTCATCATGGCTACTTTAGTATTATTTGGGTGGGCCACACAGTATAATATGGGCAGAAATGCTCCACTTAAAACACTCGCCCACCCACACACCACTCACACTTTCCTCAGCAGCAGATAAGGGAACAATTCCTCTCATCTGCAACCGCTGTCCCTGCGGTCAGCCAACATGTACAGGAAATCTCTGAACACTCACTGGAAAAAGCCGAGTTGTGAATCCTGCTGTTGGCTAAACTCCATCCCTCCTGTGTCAACTTTTGCCCGAGCTCTGCTCCAGATGCTCCCCGACCTTCTCCTCTGTGCAGTCCTGGGATGTGCACGGAGTGGTCACTGCCATTCTCTTGCCCCAGTCCAGAACTGTCAGTGTCCCAAGGTGGGGGTCACCCCCCCCACACATCCCGGGGTTAGCAGCAACTACTTTTTCTCTAGAGGTAGAAAGCAGACCAAGGTCACCAAAGTGACCCCCGTAGGAAAGTTTCCACATGTCCTACTATTTAAGACTCCATGGATTGAGGGCCGTAGCACAGACTTGATAAAAGCTTCTCAGGAGGAACAGCCCTGCAATGTTAAATGTGCCTACTGACCATACGATTCACGATGAAATTCCTCTAAGTTGTAGATTCAAGGAAATAGAGTGTCTGTCTCAGTGACACAGATAGACCCTTCAAAGGCTCCTAGTTGTCCTCGAGCCAAATCTAAGTGCCATGGAATGACAGCAAAGTCCCTGTGAGCTGGCCCCTACCCAAGACAACAGCCTCAGCTCCCATATCTCCTCATCCCCTGACCTTACATTCCCCACACCTGTTCTTCCCCAGTAAGCCTGGGTGGATCATGCCTCTGTGTCTGTACATGCTGCTCCCACTCCAGGGTGCCCTTCCAGCTCCTCCCCTCCTCCCACCAGTGGCAGTTCCAAGGACATCATCCCAGGACATGCCCCTCTGCTATGATGCCATGGGAGAAGTGGGCTTGGCTCCCACCTGTGCAACTGCTGGCTGGGGGACCTCAGCACAGGTGTTTCCCTCACCGCATCCCAGGCTGTTGGGAGGTTGAAGGCAGAAGTGATGGGAAGTGCTCAAGTGCCTGGCACATGGCAGGAGCTTCACTGGGTTGGTTCCCTTTTTTGTCCAGCTTCTGTTTTTGTCTTACTGAGGCAGCATTTAAACTTTGAGAGAAAGCAAAATAAACAACAACACACACACACACACAAGTGAAGTGGAAATTGCACTTATTTGTATGTTGGACCTTTCTTTCCCCATTTTTTAAAAATTGAGATATAATTCACATACCATAAAATTCATCCTTTTAAAGAAAATAGCTCAGCAGTTTTTACTATATGCACAAAATTGTGCAGCTATCACCCTTATCCAATTCCAGAATATTTCATCACCTTAAAGTGGATCCCCATACCCAGAAGCAGTCATCGCCCCCCATTCCCTCCAACCCCTGCAACCTATCATCTGCTTTCTGTCTCAGCTCGTGGTCTTTTAGCTGGAGCTCCCCCTGCAGTCTGAAAAGCTAGCATTGACCTTGCCAGTTCCTCAAAGGGTGATGGGAGAACTGTGCTGGTGGGTGGGACCAGAGGAGTTTGTGAACAAAAATTGTTACTAGGTACAGAAAGGGGAGTAGAATTGAAGGTACCTTGGAGATCAGGCCTAGACCAGCCACTGGCCACGTGCTCTTGGCAAGCCACTCCCCCACTGCTTTGCGCTTTAGGGGTCCCTGCTGCCCTGCCCTTGTGGGATTCTGGACTCTACACAGGGTCTCTGTCATCCAGGACCATGGTGAGGAATGACAGAGGGGAATTCTGTCTCCCAGACAACAACATAAGAGAGATGGGGAGGCCACTGGCTGAGGTTGTGGCCAGAGTTGACAGTTCTACCTTGATTCAGGGTTGAGCATTCTGTGGACACATCCCTGTAGGATTCCCCCACTTGACACCAAAGAAGCCTTTGCCCATGGTGTGAAATCTTTTCAAGTCTGAATGTTACTGGCATCCAGGTCCCACTACTCTCTGCTCAGAAGCAAAAGACTCGTCAGTTCCCAATGGTGGCTCAAGGCAGGAAGTTTATTATCAGACATCGGAGACAGACTAGAACTGTCTCCTCACTTTAGGGTTTTGGGGGGTTAAAGAGGAGCTGAGGGAATGGAACGTGGGCAGTGAAAAGCAGGAGGGAGGGGCCGTGCAAGGGGCCAGGTGCAGTCTCCGCAAGACTCCGTCTGGTTTCTGCTTCTGTCCCTGTTATCTCAGGGTCCTGCTGGAGGGTGGAATCAGCACAGCTTTATCAATGTCTTCCTCGGTTTCCCTTGGACAGTACATGCAAATTTGTAGCTCCAGGCTGTCCGGAAAACAACTTGACATTCATGTAAATAATGTCATCTTGCTCCATAACCAAGGTTCAAAATATCAAATGACCATGGAAAGAGAAGGAACTCAGAGAAATGCATGCCAAGGAAAAGAAAAACGTGTTTTTTAAAAATTTGCCTACAGCCCATGTGGTTGTAGGTACCAACATGGCTCAAGTCCTGCTCATTCCAACGTGAATATGTCTTATTTTCTCCTTGGCTGTCTCCTTTCACTTTCATAGAAAGTAAAATATGTCAAGGATTTGGCGTTGAACACTTGGCTTTTCATCCTTCTCCCCATCAGAACCACCTCAAGATTGACATTCTCTTCGTCCAGCAGCACAGTGAGAGCTTATTTGTAAACCCAGGTCAGAAAAAAGCAGGTCAGGAGGAACGCTGCCTTGATCGGCACAGTAACGTGGCTCTCTGCAGCTCTGAAGCTGTATCGTGGGTGAATGTTACTGCTTGGAGGAGTCAAAATGCCTCGAATAGTGTGTGTTGTAGGGACCTATTTGCCCTTCCCAGGCAGCTGGAATGGGAAAAGTCTTCCTCCTACCTGATGGGCAACGTGTGCCCCTAGTCCTACCACCCTTACTTTCATGGTGCTGGCACAGCTCCAGCCTGTAGGCTTGCCAGGATGCCCAGGGATGGTGGAGCCAGCCCGGCCTGGTTCCTCGACAATCCTGAACATCCTGCTTTCCAGAGCTACCCACAGGGCACTATCTCATAGCTCTGAAGACCCACGGACTCAGGCATGGAGAATGCCACGTACACAGGGCTGGTGCCTATTGCTTATAACACAATACCTGAAACTGGGTAGTTTATAAAGAAGTAAAATTTATTTCTTACAGTTTTGGAGCCTGGGAAATCCACAGTCCAGGGGGCGCATCTGGTGAGGGTCTTCTTCTCGGTGGGGGCTCTCCACAGCAACACAGGACGTCACATGGCAAGAACAGGCTGAGCAAAGAGAGCACGTTCATGTGCTTTCTTTATAAAGCAGCTAGTCCACACCCATGATCACCTGTTAATACATTAGTTCACGAATGGGTTAATCAATTCATGAGGGCATAACCTTCAGAAGCAAATCACCTCTCAGAGGCCCCACCTTTCAAATGTCATCATTGGATTTCCCACCCTCTTAACACGGTTACAGTGGAGATCAAGCTTCCAACACATGAACTTTTGAGGGACACATCTGACCCATAGCAGTGCCTACCTGGGTCAGTTCCCTCCTTTCAGCCTTTTTTCTTGAGGATCATGCTGGGCATGGAGACCTCCTGCAGAGAATCAGAGCTGCTGGGTCCAGTGGTCCAGTCTCCAGTAGAATGACTGAACGCATTCAGTAGCATCTTCTTCTCTCTACAGGAGAGTACCTGGCCATACCTCTTTGGAGTGATTGTCGTCCCTGCTATTGTCCAGCTGGTGAGCCTGCCCTTTCTCCCCGAGAGCCCACGCTACCTGCTCTTTGAGAAACACGATGAAGTGGGAGCTGTAAAAGGTAGAGCCTTTCTGTCACACGATGCCTTCACAGGCCAGCGTTGCAAGGTGCGCTGGGCCTGGGCCGGTGGGTGTGGGGAGGGGCGTCATCATCATCCTTGTCTGCGGGCACTGTGCTGGGCACCTGCCACAAGACACCATGTTGTTTCATCTTCCCAACAGCTCTGCCACAGGGGGCAGAGAGGGGACATGGGGTTACTCAGGGAGTCGCCCAGGGAGTCTGGAAAAGCCAGGACAGACAGGCTAAGACCCAGGTGCCCTCAATTCTGAGTAGTGTCTCTCCTTTGCCACCACTCTGGTGGCTCCCAACCAGAGACGAAGCGAACTCAGATTTCTCAGTGGAGTAGGTGTGTGTCCTCCTTCCCTGCTTCTTTGTTTATTGACTGCTCCTATCCTAACATTGATGTGCAAGGAAAGGAAAAGAGGCAGACAGAATGACCACCAATGTCACACCAGACGCTGGACCGAGTGCTTCTGCACAGAGACTCACCAGACGTTCCCAGCAGCCCTGTAAGGGGGCAGAAGTATACCCATTTCACAGGAGAGGAAACCGAGGTTCATGACAGGGCTTGGGAGTCATCGTAGGTAGCTTTCCTTAAATGCCTTAGACGTGGAGTGCTGGATCAGATTCACAGCACATCTTTCAGAATCAGATGCATTTCTACAGAGCCCTGAGACGGCAAAATCATTTTGCCCAGAGATGGACAGTGTAGAAGGTATAATCACATTACCTTTCTTTCAGTTTTACAAAATGAGACGCAATTGATGTGACTGTGGCAAAGCAGGAGAGGTCGCAGGAACCAGCGCTGCCTTCGCATCCCAGCTCTGCCACCTGAACTTGAGCAATTCCTTTAACCTTTCTGAGCCTGGGAGCCCTTGTCTGCAGAAGGGAAATGACACACACCTCCCTAATGGGGCTGTAGCGAGGTCAAACTCAATACTGTATATGAGGTTCACAGTACGAGTATTATCTCCTATAATCATTAGTGAGGACTATTTTCTTGTCCATATCTTGTCCTCTCACCTAAATTTCAGAAATATCCACATCCAGGAAAAAAAAAATGGAAAGTTATATATGCAATTTATACAGCATGTTTTAAAATTCAAACTACATAAATATTTTCTGAATTAACAAATGACATAATGAAATAGTAATAATTGCCTGTATTTGTCTAGCAGTTTATGGTTCAGATCCATTTTTCATTTACAACATTTCTATAAAGTGAAGTCAGAGAACATTGACGTTACCTTCATTTTGCAGATGAAGAAACTGAGGCTCATGGGGGTGAAGTCACATGCCCGAGGCTGTGATTTTGGTCTTACAGGTTTATAGAGACCATGGAAAGTATGATGGGAACTAGAGACCTTTCTTCAATACACTGCCCATATATGCAAAATTTTGCCCACTGCTTGGTGGCAGGAGTGGGACTTGAGCCCTCTCTCCCCCAGAAGCCCACGGGGGACTCTACTTAGTAACCCCTGCCCTGATCTCATGGCCAAGAAGTCTCAGAAAAATGACTGGAACCCAAGGGTGACTTTTCTGCCACTCTCCTCCCGCACAGAGGGACACCAGGAAAGGAAAACAGTGGCAAGTCAGGTTGTCAGATAGTGGAGACTCTGGAGCAAAAAGAAGGCAGCTGAGAATGAGCCAAGGTGTTCCGATTCTGCAAAGCTGCCAGGCTGGGGATTGTTGGAAGAAGGCAATTCCTCCGGCTCTGTCTCTCCTGGCCTAGGATTAGGCCCCTCAACCCCTCTGGCTCCACTTAGGAGAACAAAGAGGACAAAATAAATTTGTGTGATCCAAAAAAAAAAAAAAGGGTAGCCATAATAGATACAAGTAGGACAGGATGGGGAAAGGCAGGCGTAAACAGAGGTCATGATTTGGGAGAGAGCTATGCTCGGTGCCTTGCAGGCGGTTGGTAAGGGAGGGACGGCAGAGGTAAACTCCTGCCTTGTCCTCTCCCCAGCCTCTTGCCCAACTAATGCACCCACCAAAAGCCAAGGAAAGCACCCAGAAAGGAAGTCATGGGTGATCAGCTCCTTCTAGGCCCTGCTGTCTGTGGAGGCCTTTCCTGGAGTCCTTTGTCCCACCTGTGCCCACCTGGAGATGACTGAAGAAAGAACAGGGGCAGTTTAATGCCCTGTGGCTCCCCCTTGTCAGTTAGAAAGATGGTGCCACCTCCTAAACCTGGCTGAGGGGGTTTGGAAGAGGGAGGCAGGGACACAGCACATCAGAGGTCTTCTGCCACTACTGACAGTCACCTGCTCTTGGAAGACGAAGGTCCTCCCCCATTGTTGTTCTGCTCTCATTTTTAAGGTGTGAACCAAGATGAGTGACCTCTGAGAAGCTCCCATTTTCCCCTGGACTGTCTCCATCCCAGGGCTCTCTTTTCCCTGGCTAGAGAGACAACTGGTGGAACAGGGTACTCAGCAAAGAACAGCAGTCCAGGGTGGTGGGCGCCTTCCTACAGATCACCCAAGGGCCAGAAGCGGGCAGGAAAACACAGCTCACAAGCCACCCTGCAAAAGCCCCACACTCTCAAGCAACAAAGACATGCCTTGAAATTTCCCCTGCATTTCTTCATTCCAAAGAGCAAGCAATTGAGAGGTAACAACCAGATGCACTTTAGAGAATTTAGAGGATTGTCGAGGGTTCCACCAAAGCAGAGGATGTTTTCTATGTCATGCCTGTGGTTGGTGCCATCCTTGAGCAACCCGTGAGTTTGCTGAGGGTCTCTATGCCCCTGAGACCTGGGGGGAATTGCTGGCCCCCAGTTCCAAAGCATGGGGATATTCAAAGCCCTCTTCCAGATTTCCCTGCAATCCTGAGCATTCCAGTGTTTTGAGCTTCCTCTGCTTCTTGGGTGCTGGGTCTCTTGCATACCACCTTGTCTCCCATCATGGTAACCCCAGCTTGAATTCAGCACCTGCTTTGGTTCCTTCAAAAACAACAGCAATCAGGCACACCAAATCACAGGAGTGTTTAGAGGCCGTGTGGAAGATTTCAGGGTGCAAAGGTTGCTCCGAAAGGTCCACGACATCCCACTTCTCACCGACCTCCTCCTTCCCTTCCCCTCCCCTCCCATCTCTGCTCATTACCCCTCCACCGTCTCCTCTGCTCTTTGAGCCCCAATCTCTTCTCCTTCTAGTGGGTCAAGCAGCTTCCCTCCCCTTCCGACATGCAGACATCCAGCAGACGCCTTTTATTCCAAGCGTTTATCAAAATGTTTTTCTCAGCCACTAAAGTTTACATGCTTTTCTTGCCCCCTTTGTGATGTCACTGTTGGAATGTTGAGACACCCTGGCTCTCTAGAAGGCCCACTGTGTGCCATGCTGTGTGGCTCAGAGTTGACTGAGAGTCAGACTGTTACTGGTCCCAGCCTCAGGGGCCTGATGAGAAGAGGACTGTTCCAGCAAGGTCAAGGAGTTAGCCCGACAGAGCTTACGCTGGCTGCTGCTTCCCTGGTAGCAAGCTGGGTCGAGATCCCTGTCCCCGCTGGAACCTGAGGCTAGAGCCCGGCCCTCAGTAGGGGCTTCCCTACCCGGAGTCGCTTTTGTCAATATAATGACACCAGGTTTGGAAAAGCACAGCAGGAACTTTATTCTTTGATCAAAGAATGGAGAAGGATGAGCTTGTGCTCCAAGGACACCTCTCCCTGAATCGAGGAAGGTTTAAGACTTTTATAGGGGTAGAGGGGTAGGAGGGTCTCGGGTTCTTGGAAAAGGGGTGGGGACTTCTTGGAAGCAAATGGAGCATGCTCAGTGGCTGGGGGTCTTTGCACCTGGCTCAAAATGTGCCTAGCGAGGTACATGTCTCCTCCAAGGGCAGGGGTTTTAGTGTGATAACGTATGACAGTGAGGTATAATGAACTAAGAAGGTCAAGGGTGATCAGGTGGTTATCATCGGGACTCTTCAGCTTCTACTGATTCTGCTGTTCAGCGTTCTACTTACAAAAGCTAAACATTTCCTCAGTGGTTACTGGCATCGGCCTTAGTTCCCTGTAAGCAAGCACAGCTCCAAAAAGAAGGAACAGTTCATAAAAAGCAGACAGCTTGCAGCTTTTCTTGGGCATTTTCCTAGGGATTTGTAGTGGGGTGACCTGGTGACAAGACGAGCTGGGTTGCAGCCTCTTCCTTCCCACATGGCAGCGTGTGACCCTAGACACACTGCCCATCATGCCAAAGACTCAGTGTTCTCACCCGTGAAATGGGAATGACACAAGGGCTCGTCTGCAGGGCCAGCAGGATGATTAGATCAGATCGTGGATGTGAGAGTGCCTTGCAATGTCCGAACACTGTACTTGTAGCAGTGTCAGCTGTGGCGATCGTGTGGCCAGTAGCAGTCCATCAACAAACATCATGCTAGGTCCTTGTCAAGAAAGACGATGAAGGAATCCACCCCCTAGAGCAGCTGTGAGCGTCTTGGACTCAGCCAAGACCTTGGGGTCACACGGAGAGGTCCTGGGCCTGGGGGAAGATCATTCCCACCATGCTGTAATACTGGGGCCTGTCCCAAAGGGCTGTTGAGAGGACCGGGTGAGGGCTGCCTTGTTGCAAATGCTTGTTTGTCCAGCTCATTTCCCTCTGTGCATGAAGGCTCAGTGCAGCGCCACAGGAGCACAGATTTCTATGTGCCTGGCTCACTGATTATGCTAGTCCAGGTCCTCCAAGAAGCAGATCAAGTGAATTAAGTGGGTGGAGACTTTATTGGAGTATCTCTGTAAACAAACGTGGGCAGTCCAACCCCAAGTGGAGAGGAAGAGAACAGAAGGTTGGACAGAAGCATCCTGGGCTGCTGTGTGCTCTGAGGAAGGTTCATCAAGGCCCTGGGGGTCCTTAGGCCAACACCGGCCCCAGAGGCGCCCTCTGTCTCCCAGGAGCAAGGCTGCCTTGGTTTCCCTGCTGTGCTCAGCCACCAGCTGACAGCAGCTTCTGGGATCCTGGTCTTGGTACATATAGGATGACAGGCCTCAGAAGCTCAGTGACTGCGGCCCTTGGTCA